ATATATATATATATATATATATATATCTATATATATATATATATATGGTTGTAGATGGACACAATACCTTTATCACAATACCTTTATTTTATTTATTTATTTTTATGTGGTACTAGTGGAAGGACACTTGCAGAGTTGATACAAAGTCCAAAGACCAGTCCACACACCGGAATCTCACGCAAGAGGTTTATAGTCAGTAGAAGGAGACAAACCAACAAGGCTGTTCCTTTGGACTTTGAGTGGACTCTGAGAGTGTCCTTTCAGCTAAAGATCAAACCAACCCAGTGCCTCACAAGTGTGAGGCAAGTAAGTGTTCCACTACTGAGCTACAATCCCAGTCCTAACCTTATATATATTTTAAAACTTAAATGATATGCCAACAAAGAAGCTCAAAGGAAGTAATTAGACCACTCTGGCATAGCAAGATGGGCATTCCTAAAGACAAGATGGACATTCCTAAAGACAAGATGGACATTCCTAAGGTGATGAAGTACCAAGGAGGCTATTAATGAAAACCATTATGACTCAACTTTCCTACTCCTCCCTTGTTTCTGGGTCCTTCACACAAAAATAAAAAGCAGATTTCTCCAGTGGCGGATCAGATTAACAGACAATCGTCTTCAGGAATGACCTGGGTCTGAGCCTGAAATAGTTAGGAAATAAGTATAGGCAAAAATGAATGGTTGGGGGCCTGGAGTTGTATCTTGGCGGTAGAACACTTGCCTTGTACACGTGAGGTACTGCGTTCGATTCCCAGCACCACATAAAAATAAGCAAAATAAAATAAAGGACCATCAACAACTAAAAAAATAATATTTTAAAAAATGAATGGTTGGTCATGAAACAGGTGAGATATTATTCTGTGTTGGTCCATCCAAGTTGATTTTCTGGTATGATATTCTCCTCTTTCTGTTTGACCATGTCATAACAGTGACTCATCCAATGACAATAAGGAAAAAAATATCCTGAGGACATATAGTACCAAGAAATTTTTATGTGATTATCGTATTTGATTCAATGTTTCACAAGTATTTGCTGGTTTTGAGGCAGATTGAAAATTCTCTAAAGCTAGGCGGATTTGTCTAACACATTTGAATGATATATTTTATAGGCAGGATTTTATGATAATCCCGAACGTGTGTTTTTGCAAGAATATAAAGGAGTCTGGGGAGATGTCTGAAAGTGAAAAGTGTCATCTGACCTGAATTTTTTCTTGTGTCTTTTCAGGACACACATTTTCCCTTGCATTATGCAACTATGCCACTAGAGGTCACTGTGCAGCTCTAGTCCACACCCCAGTGCCTGTTCTGGGTCTGACCTCTAATTTCCACAGAGAACCCAGCAGGGTTTGCCTTTCTTCAGTCCAGCCAGGCAGAGCCAAAATGCCCACTGGAAGGAGGCTACAAACCTGTGTTAAACCAAGGTTATTGAGAGTCGATTGGTCCTCCAGGGGACCTCCAGCAGAGCGCCACTGCTGTCCTGGGCCCTATGCTCACGTAGGAGCTGCCTATGATCTATACTTTTTTATTCTCTCTTCCTTTAACAATGATCTTCTTAAGATTTCCACACCTGTGATTTAATGTGCTTTACAACAAGGTTTTCAGTTTGTCTGTTTTGGGTTTTGAGCATTTGCATGTATTGTCTCCGTATTAATTCATTTCTCTTGTGTTTCTTTTATTATTATTTGGCCTGTCATGAGTTTCATAAGTTTTTTAAACCTCAGAGCACTCAAATGGTAAATAAAGTTCTCAAACGACTTATTTCACATATAAGAAATCACTTCATCTTGGACCTCAAGGATCCCCACATATAAATGAGGAGATTCATAATTTCACAACAGCCTGGCTGGTACTCTGACCTCCGGCCTCTTCAGTCTGATCCTTTGTCCAATTGAGTGGGTTTTGGTGACTAATTCACCATGCCCACTTAACTTATGCAAAGTAAGTTTAACACATAGCAGCCAGTTTTTTGAAGATTTTTACTTACCACTTTTATAGTTACAGTTAAGCAGATATTTGTGTATCTTTATTAACAGGCACTTAACAACTATGCACTATTTAAAATGCCACCCACTACCTATCAACAGATGGTGGCCTCAGGATGGTGAGCAGGAAAGATAACAGAATCTAGGTGGGGCCAGATGCTGATACTTTCCGCCCTCATTGGTGGTTTTCTTGCTCTGACTTTGCAAGCCTGTTCATAATTCCAGTATGTTTTTGTATGAGAGAATAACAGTTGGATTACTATTGTCAGGTAAGAGACTTTTGTTTTAGCTTGATGCTTTTTTGGACATGGCTCATGGATTAAATGTGAGATGCCCCCATTTTAGTTCTCTTACTTAAATAAGTTTAAGTGAATAGTATCTCAGATTCCGTTCTGGTAGATGGATTTTATTGGGATTCAACTGACCATGTGGGGCAGTGGCATAAGGGAACCCAGTACTGGGGGTGCTGATTCAGTATTTTTCAGATAGGAAAAGCTTTCTTCAATTCTTGCTAGAATGAAAAGCATTTTATCAGATATGAGAAATACCTTTGTGTGAATAAATTTGTGGCTTGGTTTGAGTTATGAAGAGATTCATTTCCAAATCAAAGAGTTATTAACGGAAATTATTGTCACCACATGGTTCTCTGTTTTTAGAAAGTGTAATTTCCTACTTCTCCTACCAAAAAATGGACAAGCCACGGGCTTAAACTCTGAAACCACAGGGAAGTCATTCCCTCTCTCTGTGGATCTGTTTATTGAGGTCTGATGCACGAAAAATGAAAACAAAATACAAAATTTTTATTGACTTAAGTGTTATGTAGTTTGGTGAGAAATCTAAATCTATTCATTAAAATAAGGAAATTGCATGGAAGTATTATTAAATTCTATTAAATTAACCTTATTTGGGGCCTCTATCTGAGGACATTATAGGTAATGTCTGTTCAAATTCAGTGTATCTATGTTGGAAATACTAGCACTCAGCTTGTGAATAAGGAGCAGCCAGTTACTTGAAGTCTTTTTAGCCCATTGGCACATAGACATTGCCGTGACCTGTAAATATTAAGGATCTTTTGTAGACACAGGGAAGAGAGTCAGCATCGTCTAAGATATCCTAGGGGATGAAAGAGAGTAAGAGCACAGACAGAACTGCATTCAGATCTGCTTCCCCATTTGAATTGGGAAACCTTAAGGCACAATACTTACCCCTCTTTGCCTCAACATCCTCCTCTGTAAAATGCTGGCAATGTTGGTATCTGCCTCACAGCAATAGAAGAGGGATTGATCAAAGTATTTAGTGTAGTGCACTTAACTCCAGTGCTTCATATGAGGTCAAGTCCTATTTACTCACTGCATATTATCTACAGTAATTATCATAATTAACAAGTGTTAATAATATATATGTTATTAACACAGATATTGGTTTTGCTAATAACGATGGACTAGGGAGCAAATATGAGTGCATGGCTGAATAGTACTCTGTTATGTACACTACCATTCATCTCTTGATGGGCATCCAGGCTGATTCCATATCTCAGCTACTGTGAGGAGGGCTACAATAAACATGTGTGTTGAGGTATCTCTTTGGCATGCTGACTTCATTTCCTTTAGATGTATACCCAGCAGTGGGATTGCTGGATCACATACATGGTGGATCTAGCTTTAGTTTTTTAAGGAACTTATACTGTTCTTTATACTAGCTGTATCCATTTACATTCCCAACAATGTATAAGGAGTTACTTTTTGCCACATCCTTTCCAGCATTTATGTTATTTAAATAGCCATTCTAACCGGGGTGAGATGATATGTTGGGTTTTAATTTGAATTTCCCTGATTGGTAATGAGAGTGAGCATTCTTTCATATGCTTGTTGGCCATTTTTCTGAAAAGAAGAAATACATTTTGGATCATTTTCACATTTTTATTTGGACTACTGGGTTTGTTGTTGTTGTTGTTCTTGTTAAGTCTGTTGAGTTTCTTATATATTCTGGATATTAATCCTCTATCAAGTGAAGAGTTAGACGGTATTCTCCCCCATTCTGTAGCTTTAAGTGATTTCTCCACCTCATCTTTACAGGTTACTTTTTAACAACAAGTGCCAATGCTGCACTTACAACCGAAGTTTCTTCAACTCATTCCCTACAAGCAAGAACAGGTGGGACCTATATTTTTACATAAAATTTTAGCCTTTGTTATCATATTCACATCTTTAAAATGTACTTTGTGCAGTTTTCTGATAAATGAGCTAAAACTAAAATATTGAAAAGAAATCCTCCAAAGTGATCTCTAGGTGATGGTATTGCAGGTAACTTTTTTCTCTTTTTTTTTGGGGGGGGGGGGGGGGGAGGGATACCATGGGGATTGAACTGGGGCACTCAACCACTGAGCCATATCCCCAGCCCCTATTTTGTATATTTTAAAAAATAAACTGAAACAATTTCTGCTTGCTAAAAGGTCTATATCATCGAGCGCAGTGACAATGAACATAGAAAACACATTGCTAATAGTTTCCCCAGTTTCAGTTTTTGTAGGACTTGTTTCTATTATTCATTACCAAGCCTCACCTCCAGTAACAAAGACTATCAGGACATATTATTATCCAAGAAACTTCTACCACATCCCAGGAATCAGGCAGTGTTCCAGTCCAGCCTGCCTCAGCAGTGAATGACCCCCCTGGCATTCTGAATCGACAAAGCATAAAACATCATCCACCCTTCCCTCAATCTCCCGCCACCATGCTGGCCCCGGTGCAAAGGGTCATCTCTGCGGCTTTGTCTCTTTTGATGCTTTAGGCCAGAGTCAAATTCACCACTTTGTTTTGAGATTCCAAAGTAGAAGAGCTGAGTTTCTCTCCAAGGTGTGTGCAGCCCTCTGAGGGCGTCACTACATGTAAGCAATTAACCAGATAAAACAAGAAAGATTCATTGACCCAGGGAAGAAACGCTTAGATCCCTGGCAGTCAGCCTGGGGGACAATGAAGTTAAAGGTGTTTTCCAGTTTCTTCCAGTTCAATTTGAAAATGGACAACTGGGTTTTGTTGTTGTTGTTGTTGTTATATCTGTTGAGTTCCTTATATATTCTAGATATTAATCCCCTATCAAGTGAATAGTTGGATGGTATTCTCCCCCATTCTGTAGCTTCAGGGAAGTACATTTTAAGTGATTTCTCCACCTCATCTTTCCAGGTTATTCTTTAAAAAGTACCAGTGCTATAAAGGCAACCGAAGTTTCTCCAGCTCATTCCCTACAAACAAGCACAGGTGGGACCTATATTTTTACATAAAATTCCAGCCTTTGTATCATATCCACATCTTTAAAATTTCATGTGGAACACTAGGCCTTTTAACTATCAGCCTCCTATAAACTTGGCTGGTCAAGGTTTCTTAACAGTTTTCATGCAGGTAGAAATTCCAGATCTTCCATTTTTACTTGTGAACCACCTGGGACCTTAGGCACTATGTATCCAGTGATTAAAAAAAAAAAGAAGAAGAAGAAGAAAAAAAAGCATCCAGTGGTAGAGAAAATGAGTTCTCGACATCACAAACATCAGACATGAAGAAATTTGATTTTATTGCTTTTGTTTGGGAAGGGTTATGACCTATATCTTAAGATTTCGTATATCTGTCTTGGAAAAATGAGAATTTACAGATATCAGTAGTTCTACCACGTGCCATGCTAAGCCTTTTTACATGAATTATTTCATTTTATCCTGACAGTAACTCAATAAAGTGGCTATGTCCCCATTTGCACAGATGAAAACACAATTAAAAAAAAAAAAAACAGAAGTTCAAAAAGTTTTTTTAAAAAAACTTGTGTAAGGTCACAGAGCCAGTGAACAGTGAAACTGGAATACAAACCTAGACTGACTGGAGAACCCTTGTGCTTAACCAACAGCCTTCTCCAAAAGAGGATGACAATTATTTGGTATACTAGCTAGCAATAAGCCCTGTTGATATTATGGTACGACTTTCTCAGACACTTTTTCCTACATGTTTATTAATGTGTACTTACAATTACTCTTTGTAGTACTCTGAAACCTGCCTTTTCTTCATGCAACAATTTTTCAATATTACAAAATACACGTGTAGAACATTTTAACGGCTGTACCGCTGTAACATTAAAGCATTATGAATGTGTGCAGCTGCTGAATTTGGCAGGTCGGATTGGATAGACAATAAAGACATCCTCTTTATACAAGATGGCATTTATCTTAGTAATAATATGGAAGCAAGAGCAATAGTAAAAGTGATAGGTGAGCGCGGAGAAGAGAAGAAGCAGGGGTGGGGTGGGGGGGGGATATCCACCAGAACAGGAGGAGAAACACCTGATCATGTGTGTGGGGAGTCCCAGGGCAGCTATTCAGGGTCTTAATTAGGAAGTGCAGGGCAGAACATCCTCTTGGCAGTGAGACTCCAAAGGCTAATTGCCTAGTGGGGTTCCTTAAGTACAAATTAGAGTAAAGAAAGCCCAGCTCTAACAATCTGCATGACCTAGTGATCTCCTCAAGGATTGGCCACATCCTGAAGGGAGGGGGTGATAGCTTTGAGATAAGCGAATAACTGTGAGTTCTCCTGCATGAGCCAGTGAGTCAAACACACGGAGAAGTCAGCATTCTTTAGACACTCCTTTAAGGGTGGGTGAAGGTCATGGCAGGCATGTATTTCCCTTAGAACTTTAGCAGTATGACCTCTCACACACAAAACAAGTTGACTTTGCTTTTGAATATTTGTTTCTACTTCACTGTCTTTTAAACAACAGGGGGATGGGCACATTGGGTGACTCCTTTTTCTTCATCAGAGTCTGCACATTTTACAGGGTTTGATGATTACTACCAAATTTATTTCTAAAAAAAAAAAAAATCATCCTCACTTAGACACCCATCAGTGAATCATGAGAGTGTCCACCTCCGTATTCTTTTGACAAATTGTGAAAGACGTGTGTGCTTGCAATTCAATTTTTGATTTCCTTGATTATGAGTGAAAGTAAACCACAACTCTGTCGCTTTTTAACATTTAACATGCGGGCACTTGGATGCACTCATTCAGAGTGTAGCAGTCAGAACTGGGACCAGGTGGAGATGTGTTGTGCTCACTCAGGGTCCCGAATTCAAAGGGAAACCAAAAGCTTAATAAGGAATTGATGTTTTAATGCAATCATGCAGAAACCCAAAACTGATTTTTTAAATACTGGATACAATATTAAAAACTTCAAAACAGGATCCATCAGGGTCAGCTTAGAGTGAGGTAAGTCTAGCCAGGGCCAGCTCAGATCCTGGAAGAGGAAAGTGAAGGCAATCCATCAGCAACTGAGGGAGTTGCAGTCAGCATGCTGTCTTTTCAAGGGCTCATTCCTGCTTCCAGTCATCCCTCCTTCCAGGGATAGCGGAAAGCTGGTGGTGAATGCCAGGCTCCCCTCTCTCTGCTTCTCTCCACATGGGGTGCTTATTGTCCTGGGAACCACTTTGACCCTCCCTGGGTTGTAGGTTCACCCAGAGTTTTCTCTTACTGTGAAAGGGGGACCTGTGTGCCATGGGCCAGCCAGCTCTCTCTAGAAACTAGGTTCTCTATTTCTCCAGTTTCAGAATCATTTGGGAAAGTTATTCTTTAGACACATGGTTGGTCCAGTGTTATCAGGATAGAAAAGACTTCAAGGAATTAATTATCATAATAAAATTATCACGATTTAAGTCTTCAAATCAGGAGCACGTCTTACCAGAGTCATGTCTTCCTAGATGTCCTCTGAAGAGTTTGACACTGTCTTCAGATAATTTTATGTATTTTCGTTTTTGAGATTTATTTCATCCATTTTGTTATTGTCTTAATTAAAACATCTTCTTTATCTTTTCAACCTGGTTGTTGATGACAGAAGATGAATCCATTACTCCACGTATGCTCATAACTAACCTTTATTTGTTATAATAGCAGTTTCTTTTCAGTTTCCCAACTAGACATTCATGTTCTTCATAAAGATGATAATGTGTTTCTTCCATTTAAATATTTATAGCCACTTCTTTTCTTATGTGACACTTGTTAAAACTCCTAAAACTATTATATAATGATATCATGATGATGATGTTAGTCATCCTTGTCCTGTCTGGAATATGAATGTCCTACCATTAGTTAGGTCTCTTACTGTGTGTGTGTGTGTGGTGCTGGGGATCAAATTCGTCTTATTTTCAGTAGGTAACCTTTATTATATACCAAGATTGCTCTAAAGTAAGAAATTTAATCAGGAAAGATATTGAGTTCTATAAAATAACAATATTACTACTTATTCTGTATCATAGTTGAAATGTCAAATGCTCAATCCTATGGTCCAATGGCATAATTAATGTTAACAATAAAGTTCCTGACAGCTACCGAGAGAGAGAGAGAGAGAGAGAGAGAGAGAGAATCTTTTATCCCCACTATATTAAAAACTCTTTCGAAGCTTTTGATTTATTTTCTACAAGAATATCTCTTAGCTTTGTGTTTATATTAGCCTCTATCAGTGTCACTATGTCTTCTTTAATATCTTATGAGTTCCATCAGTGGATATTTTAATATTGAACTATCCCTCCTATTCTGATTTAAATTACATGGCCACTTTACAATATTGTGCTGCAATCAATATTAGTTTTCTAAGATATTGCAGGGTTTAAATTTTTTTCCCTTTAACGATTTTTTTTCTTAACTTTTTTTTTCACATGAATTTCTCATTTTATTTATTGTACTATGGATTCGATTCTACTGTCTATGTGATTTCTACTTTGGGTTATTTATTAAAAATTTCTTTGTAACCCAAATTATTGTATGGAAGCACTGGAAAAGTAGGTGCAGCCTTTGTTTATAGTTTGACAAAGTTCTATAAATAGATATTTAATACACTTTGATATGCTCATGGCTGAGTCTGTTTGTGTTGGTATAACAAAATACTTGAGCCTGGGTAATTTATAAGCAATAGAAATTTATCACTCATGGTTCTGGAAGCTGAGAAGTCTAAGATCAAGGTGTGATGGGACTGGCGTGTGGTGAGAGTTGTTGTCTGCTTCAAGGTGTTGCCTTGTGGCTCTTCCTCCAGAGGGGAGGAGGGCTGTGTCCTCACATGGTGAAAAGAAACAAACCCAGTTCCTCAAGTCCTGCTATAAAGTCCCTAACCTAGAGCCCTCGTGAGTTAATCTCTCTTAAAGGCCCTGCTATCCAAGTAGCTAATGAATTTCAGTGGATGGATTTGGGGGTGCACAATCAGAGCCTAGCAGTTTTATGACAAGAGCCAGCACAAATGAAGCACTTACTTTGTGCCAGTGACTAACATACACTTACAGTTTTTAGTTAGAGTGAAAAGCGTATGACACAGTGTTCATCACTGTGACTACTTTTCAGTGTCTGGTTTGGTGGCATTTAGTAGTTCACTCTACACGTTTGTCAGCACTATCTTGTTTCAGAACATCTTCAGTATTCTAAAAAGGAAATCCCAAACCCATTATCAGTCTCTCACCATTCCTATTCCCACCAGCCCCTGGATCACCAATGATTTGCTTTCTACCTGGATAGATTTACCTGTTTTGAATATTTCATGTAATAGAACTGTGCAATGGTAGCCTTTTGCACATGGCTTCTTTCACTTAGGATAATGTGTTTCAGGATCATTCATCCACATTGAAGCATACAGTATTCATTTGTTTTCATGGCTACGAATTGTCCCATTTTATGGATATACCAAATATGTTTATTCATTCATCATTGAGTAGAAATTCAGGTTATTTCTAACTTTGGGCTATTATGAATTGTGCTACTCTGAATATTCCTGTACTAATTTTATTGGAACACACATTTTCAATACTCCTGGATATGTACCTAGAGGTAGGATTGTTGGACCATAGTATTTTATGTTTAGCTTATTGAGAACCACCAAACTGTTTTCCACAGGAGTCTACTATTTTACATTCCCACCAATAGTGTATGAGGGCTCCAATTTCTCCACATATTTGCCAACCCTTGTCATTTTCCATTTTAAAAATTACAGATGCTGCTCTACTTACAATGGGAAACCTATTTTGACTTACAACGTTTTCAACTTACAATGGGAAACCCGTTATGAAAATAATACAAGTCAAAAATGCATTAATACATATAGAGCACAATTTTTCAAGTCAAGTCACTGATTGTACACAAAGTATTTTCACACCATTCGTATCTTCATGAATTGCATTCTTCCATCATGTATAATAAATTAGAATAAATAATTTAACTTTAAAAAGTATCTGAAAAGGGTAAAAAAT